AAATTCTTCCAAAGTTAAAATATCTTTTAAAACTTTATTTGATATACAAAGTAATTGAGGATCAGGTACTGGCTCAGGCATTGTATAACTAAAAGCTGAGTTCTTTACTAGTCTTGGTGTTTGGTGTAATGAAGAAGTTGAGGAGGTGGTGATGGAAGTGGAGAAAGTTGGTGGTGTTATAGGATCTGCTGGTAAGTTATTAATAAAAATAAAAGATTTTTGAAGCGACTCTAAAGAATTCTCTAATTTACTATTATTATTTGAACCAGATGATTTGGATGCTGTAGCCTTAATGGCAGTGATAGAAGAAGCAGGCGTGGAAAATATAGAATTAGACATTGTAAAAAACTTGTTGATAAATATTTTTGAAAAAGAATCAAAGTGATGATGGTAATTCATTAAAAAATTTTTTGGTTTGATAAACAGCGGATTTACATTTATTTAATGTTACAATTAATAATAATAATAATACATTATTACAATGAAATAAACCTTGCTCTTTGATTTATTAGCGAATGTCAACCACGTTTAGTACCAAAAATAATTTCAAGATTAATCATCATTTTCGGTGTGGACGCGGATTATATATATTTATTATAAACTTGTAAAGTATAGCCATAAATTATTAAATAGTATTAGTATTAATGAATGACTAGGCAATTAATCACAAGTTACTTGATTCATAAAGAAGACAAATTCAAACTTCAAAGTTTTTAAAACTACTTTTGATTACTTTAGAAATTATGGGATGATTAACGTCTGACATTTTGTTCAAGTAAAGCCAATTAAATAACGTTACTCTTCTTTTATTTCTTCTTTTTACCATTCATATCAATTTTTGTTGCTAAAGCATTCGACTAATTAATTGATATTTACTTATTTATTAGCTGCAATTTAAGTTCAACTTTGATGTTTTTTCTCTTGTTATTACTCTCTTTGTCTCTTTTTTCTCTCTTTTCCTTCCAAATTTTCTTTTGGTTTTTTCACAAGCTCATAAACCATTGGAATTATTAGTCAAAGTGAAAATGCTGCCACGAATGCGACACTTGCAACAACTAATATATAAATTATATAAATTATATATATTAATATCCATCATCGTTTTGTCATCATCATCATCACCATTATTGTTTCGCGATTTTTGTTATCTAGTAAATTAGAAAAATGTACATTCTCAGATTTAAAATTAATAAATTACATTTAAACACACTTGAACATTTACTTTTGCGCGTATGCATCAAAGAAAAAGCTCGCTTAATTAAAGATGTCTTACGCGCATAGTAATAATGGCTTGACTATTGTTAAATATTTCGTATCAATCAAGAAGAAATTGAAAAATCTCCAAGTCATCATTCACAAAACGATCTCAAAGCATGTTCGCGTCGCATCTATTTGAACTTGTGTGATAAAACAAACATCAATGAATGTTTTAAAGATTTATACAGTGACGGCTAATGAGCATGAGAGTATAAAATTGCGACCAACTTGTTTCGATTATTTAAATATTTTGATATTTTGATTTATCAATAAAGCACTACAATTGTTTGATACGCGCGTCGTAAATTCCCTTCGAGCAAGTGGTGCTAATTATACAGCGGGAACAATGTTTTTTATATACGATGATTGTATAATATAAGAATAACAACGCCGAGAGAATAACGCGTGAATAGTAGCGGCAATTGCGAATAAGGAAATTATCAGGTGTTAAATCATTATAATAATCATTTATAGAAGAGTTATATAAATCCTATAAGATTAAGTAACTTGCTTAATTATTAACATCATCATAGATTTGGAATGTGAAGATTTTCCCTAAAAAAGGAAGTTGTGTTTCTTTTATAGGCGAGATCTTCACATTCTATTTACTGCGCCTTCCAATTTACAGCCCATAAAATCATGATTATTCATCACCCTCTAGGCCTTACTCTCGCACCTTCCTAGGCACACAACTCGTCCAAAAAAACCTTTCTTTATATGCAAGTAACATATATTCATGTTATATTCATGTTATATATATATATTATTATGCAAAAGAATATGAAAACCACAAATAACATATTAATTGTTTATTAATTATTTTTAATTATTACTATTTTGCACAGTTTTCTTAATAATAATAAGATAATACTAATAATAATCATTTACTTAACTTTTATTGAATAAATATTAAGATAACTAATTAAAAAAAAATTATATACTATAAATCCATATATGCAATAATTAAAAACAATCATTGGACAATTTGATTTAATTTAACATTAAAAGTTTTATTGAAATATATTTTATATAATACAATGATTTTATATATATTAGCATTTATACAAACGTTATGTAAAAATGATTTTAATTTTAATTTTAAAGTTTTATATTTATTATTTATTTATTTCTACAGTTATTATTATTTTGTTTGTAAATATTTGCTTCAAGTTTTACCAAAATGTAATCTTTAAATTACCATTTTAAGATTTGCGGAGAGTTAATAATTATCAGATTTCCTAATTAATTTTTATTAATTTTTTTTGTTTTGAATTTTTTCACAAACGTGAAATTTTTGTTTTTTTTTTTCATGTGCGCTTTTTATTTTTTTCACACTTGAAAATAATTACAGAACGAATTATTCTTTGTAAATATTTTTTTTTTTTTTTTTTCAATTGAAACAACGAAAATATTCTTTTTGCGGATAATGATAAATGGGTTTTTTTTTTAAAATAAAATCGTGTTTAACAAGTTTTTTAAAAATTATTAATTTTAGTACTACTTTCTAGTACCTAATTATTGTTATCATCATTATTATTATTATGGAGAAAAAATAATCTAGTGACAGATTAGAAAATGATTAGTAATTGTAGATTTAGAAAAATCAACATCATAACTATGTTCCTAATCATAATTATGATAGGAGAAGGAAGTTGCATGCATGCACTAATAATATTATATTTATCATTGTAATGAATTACGTGTGATTTGTTTTCTTTCTTTGTGATTATTCATAATATTTGCTTGGTGTATTACCATCGTCATCACCATCAAAAAAAATTTTATTTTTTTTTACCCAAAGAACATTCAATTATGAAACACGCACACGCACACGCACATGATTGTTTTCTGAACAAAAAGAGAAAGTTTCGTTTATTGATTGACTGATTAATTGATAACGTATCTCACATGCTCCGTTATCCATCATCATCATTCTCCATTCCATCTAAGTCGCGCTATTTGTTACTTTTGTTGTTGTTGTTGTTGTTGTTGTTGTTGTTGTTGTTGTTGTTGTTAATGATGGTGGCACTAATTAAATAACTCCATCAGTTAAAAACGAGAAATAAAAATAAAAATAACCAAACTTTTAATTAAAAAATGGGATTATTAAAGATACGCGTAAATGATGGCGTTATCTTTCTATAACACTTAATTTATCAATTGATCGACAAATTTAACTTATTATATCACTATTGATTGATATTATAATTAAAGTAAACGCTAATATTTTGCTAGTGAAAAAATGATTTAACGTGTTTGAAATTCGTACGTAATTCTGAAAATTTATTTTCCAAAACAACAAACAACGTTATTACTAAACGTAGTAAAGTAATATATGTATGATACACACATAATGTTTTTACAAAAGGTAAAGTTATCTCACTGTGCGTTAATAACAGACATATTTTTATTGTGGGGTACATTTTACACATTCGTCTTATCATCATAATTCAATTATTCATTATTAACTGTGTGTGTAATTGAACGCGTATAAAAAAAATCTTTCGATCTCGATTCATATTAAATTTATTAATAATTGTAAATTAATTTATTGGCTGTTGTGTTTTTTTTTTGCAGCTGATTAACAGTCAGAGTTACTTCCAACTTTGGTGACAATCATTATTATTATTCCTCTAGCATTATTCATATATGTATGAGTGTATGAATATATGGATGCATGTATGTACATGTGACAGAAAAAGTAGAAACAATGCAAAACGATGATCGAAAATCAATTTCAAGCAATAGTAATAAATTCTTTACTCTAACGATTTCCATTTTTTTAATAAATCATTAAAAACTTATGACTATAATGTACTATAATACAATTAAAAGGAATTTGACTAAAAATGTATTCTTTGAATTTGAAGACGCCTCAGGGGGGCGAAATCAATTAGCTCCTTATAATAAGTCTTTGCTGAAATAGTACATTTTAATAACTCGGTACCGAAATAGAAAACTTAAACGGACACGGACACGCAACTATTAAAAAAGGTGGGATGATAATGTATAAATTGCATATTAAAAATCATACAACCAATTAATGATTTTCGAATTTTGATGCTGTTGATAATAATAATAATAATAATAATAATAATAATAATAGTGACTTTTGAAAATAAAAACGACACTAAAAAACAACATAATATTAATATATATTAAATAATCATCATTCCGCGGTATATATTCGAGTGATAATTAAAAATAAGAGTATCAATCATTTAAAACGCGAAGTATTTCATTGATGCTTCTTACTATCACTCCAAATTTAGTGCTATAATGTTTAATAATCAAAAAAAAACAAAAAATTCGTAACAATTAAATGATCACTAATATGGAAAAAGACCCTTTTTCATATACAAATTTAGCAACTAGTTAGCATGAAAAAGAAAAATCTGGGGTTGGGAAATCAAAAAAAAATCAAAAAAGGAAATAACAATAATTATAATAATAAAAATAATATTTTATATATAGATGGATGATTATCATGATATAAATAAATGATAATAATAGTAGTAGTAAGTAAAGTAATAGTAATAATTATAGTTAATTATAGTTAACTATGCGAGGATGTTACTTTTTGGCGTACATTTTGCATATATATATATATTAGTATATCTTAAATGGACTAATCTATTTTTGTGAGATTAAAAAAACAAGGTGAAGTTTTTGTTTATTATAGAAAGCTTTTATTGATAATAAATAATTCAATATTGAGACATGTCTATATATTTGTTTTTTTATTATTGTACATTTTTAGATTGTAATTTCGGTAATGGTTTTTTCTTCTTTGGATGTATTTTTGTTATTAATTTAATCACTTCTTCTCTATACAATTTTGCAGTGTTATAATCTGATAAACGTTTTGATTCCTCAATTCTATCTATTAATAATCTACAATTTTCTTGAAATTTGATTACATGTCTTATCGATAACTGTTTCAATAGTATTGTACTAGTATTAATATCATTACATCTGCAAAAATATGGGAAAAAATTAGTTGGTATTTGTGTAGAAAAAATCAAGCCATGTAGATATATATATGTAATACCTAGCTAAAATATTAATCATGAATTTATAAATTTCATATTCTAACTCCTTAGAAAGTCCAATCTTTTCTAATTCAATTTCTTGTTGATAAACATTATCAAATTTCTTTGAAATCTTACTAGTTTCAGCTTCTTGCCAACAACTCCAATTGTTCCATAGATTCCATGCTTTCTCCAATTGTTTATGTCGATAACATCCAGACAATAATATTAAAAACATCCAACCATTTAATTCTATTCCAAGTTTTGGTATATTAACTTTATAAAAGTCCCATAAATAATGAAAGTTCATTCTTTTTTCTATGACACTCATATATGAAATAATTAGATAACTTGATATTTTATTATCTTTAAAGTTTATTTTAATATTACTATTATTAATATGTGTTGATGTTGACAACAATGAGGGTGATGGTGGTGAAGAGAAAATGACGGAGATTAAATAATTATAAATCATTTCTGCCTCCATAAAAATTTGCAAATTTGTTTTTGGACAGTTGGTAAATAATGGATATATATCAGATCCAATCATTAGATTGGTTAGTTCTATTGGTTTATTTCTAGTTGTTGTTGTTGTTGATGATGATGATGATGATGATGATGATTCTTCTTTTTCTTTCTCTTCTTCCATAGATGAATCTAAAATATTTGTTATAGCTGATTTTAAGTCTATATAAATGTCATCAACAACATTTTGCCTAGAATTATTTTGTAATGATAATGGATTTATAATATTATCATTCACTGCTGCATCTGACATGACTTTACTATCATTATTATTACTAGGATTATGATTATTATCACTAATACTATCAGAATTATTATTGTTGTGGTTATTACTATTATGATTGCTAGCATCACCATCGTTATCACTAGTATTATCTTTATCTTTAATATCATTATTACCATCATCATCATTATTATTACTACTGGTATTACTATCATTACTATTATTATCATTACCATCATTGTCATCATTATTACTACTGGTAATAACATTGTTACTATTATTATTAGCACTACTGGTATATTTATTTGGAATCTTTAATTCACTGTGGGATGCATAAGTCCATAATAAATTTACAAATGTAATATCATCAGGTATTAATAATGAATTTTCTTTTGCACTAGCAATTTAAATATTTAAATATTTTTTTAAAAAAAAAAATATATGCACATATTTCATAAATACCCATAAATACTCTCTCATGAATACAATGTATAAATAGATACCTTTGAATTAAATTTATTAATATATTTCTAGCCATTTCCAAATCACCATTAATTGCACAGGCATAAATTAGTGTATTGTAAGTGATCAAATCAGGCACACACCCATTATTTTCCATTTCTTCTAATAGTTCAAACACTTTATAATAGTAATGTATAATAAAAATAAAAACCATTAAGAATAATAGTCTATTTATTATCATGATCATTATTGTTATTATTAATTAGAAGGATATCTTTTCTTCTTGAACAAGCATGAATTAATGAATTATATGTGATATTCGTAGGTTGTAATTTTTTCTCCAACATTTCGTCATACAATTGCAACGCCTTTCCTGCATCCTTTTGCTAAATTAATATATATATATATACAACACAATAAATAATGATAATCGTGATGATATTAGTATGTTATTAAATATATATAAGCATATAACAAATTATAAAAAATATAATTCATAATTTATGATTAATAATAATAAATATAATTACCGTAAAGTGCAGACTATATTATTATACATGCATGACATATATATTGAATTTCGTATGGAATGTATAAAGTAGTACTTTGGTATAATATTTCGAGTATAGCCTATATAAAAATGTGTGAGTATGTATATACTTGTTCATATTTTTTTTTAAATAATTTCTTTTTAGTCTGCACTTTATGGAATTATAATTATTATTATATTAAAAATTTTATCATAATAATAATGATATTACTATTATTAATTGTTACCTTTGCGCAAATATGAATCATTAGTGAATATGTCACTTTATCAGGCTCACCAATCTCTGAACACAAACGTTCAAATATTGACCAAGCTCGATTATAATCACCAGTATCAGCACAACACTTTATTAATATGCTATAAATCACCTTGTAATAATAGTTTTTTTGAAATTAATTAATTATTAGTTGAGTTGGATGGATGATGAAGGCATAAGAAAGAAAATAGAATTTTGTGAAAATTTTCTAACCTGATTTGGTATATTCCCTGTATTTTTTAAATCATTTAATACTTCAAATGCATCAACCGTTTTTTTGTTCGATGCATATGCTTTAGTTAAATTTGCATAACTATGTAATGTAGGTTCAAACCCAACTAAAAAAAAAAAAAATATAAACGAATAAATATGACGAATGAGTAAATATAACACATTAAAATAAAAAATAACATATATTGATGTTTGCCTGCTTCAATTAAATTAAAGGCCGCGATTGCTTTTTTCAAATCACCAACATTTGCATAAAGATTTAAAAGATGTTCGTACGTGTGGAGTGTAGGAAATACATTGGCATTCTAAACACAAAATAAAATAATATCGAATTAAAGATTTCTTTCCCACGTATTACCGACCCGAATGACTAATTGATTAATCGATCAACTGACCTTCATCATTTCTATTACTTTTTCAGCTTCATCTGGTTGTTTAGATATTGCCTAATAATAAATAATATCAATCAACAATAATTTTATAAGCCAATCTTTTTTTATCTATATATTGTTGTGCTAATTAATGAAAACTTACGCAAGCATACAATAATTTGTTAAATGCAAAAATATCATTCTGTTGTTGACTTGAAGAGGCAATTGTGATCGAACAATGTTTTAAACTATCTTGTATCAGCGGAAGCCTAGGTAAAACTGGATTATTGTTGATTCTTTTGATTAACAATTTATGTGTTACTGCAGCTCTTCTTCGATACATGTTAAATATAACATTCATTTTAAAAATTTTTTTTCTCAAAAAAATGAAAGATCTAAATTTCTATGATTTTTGGCCAATCAATTTTTATCATATGACTGGTATCACCTTGTAAATAGGTTTAATGAGAAAATAGTCAGTATAGAATAGAAGATTATAACAATTCATTAACACCTAACAGATCAGGCAGATGCTCTCCGATGCCGCATGCAACATTAATTATTATTATGAAGTGAATGTTTATTTTAAAAACACATGTGGTGGAGATTTTAAAAATATATCCATCTATCTATCTATCCATCTATCCATTTATCGAGTTCGCGCGTCCTCTAAATAAGTAAATCAAAATTGATTTTTTCATTTTCAAAAATAGCCACTATAATATAACTATTATAATTATAGTAATAGGTAATAAAAGATAAATGCATGCAACTATGTATAAGCTCTTAGAAGAAAATAAAGAAACGCGCTCTCTCTTGCATGAATAAATTAGGTGAATAAAATAAAATGGGTTCCTAGAAAAGGCTACCTAGAACGCCAAAAATATTTATATGATGTGATATAACAATTGTAATTAAGGTAAATTTTTATACAATGACCATGATGCAATATTCACTCACTCACCATCCTGTACAATAATACAATTGATTTTTTGAATTTCATTATTTTTTTATTACATTGTATTTCTACATTATTATTATTATTATAAAAAATGTGAAACATGCATATATATTATTTATATATGTGTGTATATATATATATTATAAATAATATATTGTATGTATATATATTTTTGGAAGTCTTGGAGCTTGGAAATAAAACGTATGTAATCATTCAAACTCACATGTATTGTTTTGTCTATGCAAGATATTAACTACAAAAAGAATATTTTTTTTTGACGTTTAAAAGATCCGATTATTTCATAAATTTCGCGTTTTAATTCAAGTTTTTTTTTTCACTTTTCACAACTGACCCTTCCTTCTTTTTCTCGGAAAAAAATTTTATTTAAATTGTTGTCACTGTAAAAATAATAATGATGAGTTAGATGACAATGATGATTATAAAAAACCAATTAATTAATTGAAAAGAAGAATAATGATTTTGTTTGTTGTTGTCAAAGTTGTTGTTGGTAGAGTGAATCAAGAAACCTTAATGACAATGTGTATTAATTGTGACAATTGTCATTATTATGACAATAAAAAATTCAAACGAAATTCTCACGCAATTTATTCTTTGATTCGAAAAAAAGTTTTTTACTCTTGGATATTCTTTTTTCTATTAGTTAATAATGTGTGTGTTACAAATTATGTAATTATACCATATAAGTCTTTGTGTGTATTCCATGAGGAATAATGGAAATGATAAAGAACATTGTAATATTTAGCATACTAAACCTCATAATTGCTTTCATAGACAAAGAACAATAATTGTAATTATAACGACACATACACCCACCCATTAATTAAGTTAAAAAGATCATTTCATCAATCAATCAAATTAAATTAAAAAATCACAGGTTCGATTATTGGATGATCGATCTGTAGATTTTTAAAGTGTGTGGGTATTTAAGGTGTAGATTGCGTTGCTGGGATTAGCTGATGATCAACTTTAAAATTTTCGAGTTAAAAAATTTGATATTCTTCGAACGAAAGAATGCTTGTATTACTATTAATTAGCTACTATTCTGATCGCTTAAGAAAGACAAATTAGTATAACAATGGGGGATTTGTCTGATATAGATGAGTTGTTTTTTTTACTAGCCCATATAAGAGAAAGATATTATTTATTATTAATGTTATGTAATGTATGTATTGTTATTATATATGTACGAGTCGGATAATAAAGCTAATTCATTAATATTAATTAAGAAATGGCGTATGAGAGAGAGAGAGAATATGTTGTAATGAATGATATTTTAAAATTTTCAACCTGAAGTGAGTGTGATCAAAAGACGCGTAGAGTTTTATACATCGATCTTCCTTCTACCAGGTGCACGTCATATGTGCTGAAAGTTTGGAAATGTGAATATCTTACCCAAAAAGACAACACAATTTCCTTTATAGGTAAGATATTCACATTTCATGCGATATAACGCCAAAGTAGATCATTTTCACATTTGATCTTCATTATCCAATCATTCAAAAATTGTTTGTCTAATATAGAAAAGATAAAAAATTGAGCCACATAGATAATAAAAAAAAAATTTTTCGGCGTTTTTTAAATTTTTCTTTCTTTTTTTTTTCTACCAAAATTAAAATATTTCTTTCTTTTTATAATTGTATATGATAAACAACAACATTAATGGACGATAATAAATAATACTAACTTTATAAACATATTTGATAATTACATGAGATAAAAAAACAAGGTTTTTTTCCTAATTACACACACACACGCCATTCTTTTAATTATTAATTAAATAGAAAACCATTTTATTTATATTTACTTTTTGAAATTAAATTAATTAATTTTATTAATTTTAACATAAACAAAATGTTTTAATTGTACGTGCACATGAATAATAAAAACTCTGACGCAGTTTTTTTAACAAATTGAAGCCACCATCTTGTAGATAAATTCGACTCAAGCCTTTGCACAATCATCTCTAATAAATATATGATGTAAAGGAGAATTTTTAAATATCCCAACTGCCAAAAGAAAATCGAAAGTGTGGGGTACATAAAATACTAGACAAAACCTACTTAAAACACAGGTTTTTTTTCTTGACAATCAATTGAAGATTTCTAATTCTTTCAATAATATAGTAGATAAATAAACATGCTATTATAATCTTTTATAATTATTAATAAATTAAAAAGAATTCATTCATTTCATCTAATTCCATCTTTGTCCATCAAAGCACGCATATGTTAATTATTAGTTTCTTAAAAAAAAAAAAATCTAGAGAAGTTTAAGTGAAAAAAAAACCTAAATAGTTCCATCGTTTTCAATTGGCGTATGTGTGTGTATAGTATTTTAAAAAGAAAAGGAAGGAAAGTAAAAACAAACTTGTTATATAATTCTTTGCCATTTTGTTTTCCCTCTCTTTTTTCTTCGCTCGCTTTGCTTCTTTTTGCAAAAAAAATTTTATTCTAATTATTTATATGTTGACATATATGGTATTATGTATTTATTTGTTTTCAAAAAAAAAAAAAATACAAGATTTACATAATGCATCATTGTTAAAATTTTTCATTATAACTGAGAAATAACCGAGTTAAACAATATATACTACTTATTTTTATACAAAAAAAAAAATTTTTTTTATACTATTCATTTTATTCGTTATTAATATATATTATTATCTATATATACATATTTATATATATTTTCTACATATCAAGTTCTATACTCACTATCATCATCATCATCATCATCATCCTCTCGCTCACACCATACTGATTTTCTCACAAATGATCTTGTAAGAAAAATTTATATACATATTTGTTTATACTCTGCTAAAAATGTCGTGGAAATATTTATAGTAGTAATAATCATAATTTTTTAGTTTTATGTTCTTTAAAAAATCTTAATTGGAAATTAATTTTGCGGAAAAAAGTTGTTGTCATTTAAAATTTGTTGTTCTCCAATTATTTTGCATACATGTACGTACTACCTGTGCATTCATTTACTTAACTAGCAAGAGTTTTAGGGAGTGAAAACAAATATTATTGAATAAGTAAAAGGTAGGTAAGCAAACAACCAGAATGACGGAAGCAGGGAAGGAAACTTTTACTATTATTATAACATTACGTTACTTTTATTATATCTTTCCAAAAAGGAAATTAAATAATTCTGTTATCGGTAATAATAATTATGTGTAAAATAAAGTTTTTTATTAATTGCTTTTTTAAGAATTGAATTCGGATATTTATTTATTATTTATTATTATTATTATTATTACTATTATTAATTCTCACGATTTTATATATATGTGTACACATCCTATTAAAGTCTTGATTTAACAGATTAAGAGTCCAGAACAATCTAATAATAATAAACAATTACTATAATAAATTCTTCTCTATATAACGAATTTTTCTAAAACTATTCATTATATCGAGAGATTCATTGTTGCACGCGTGAAGAATTAATAATCTTAACAAATTTGACATATAATGAAATTACTTGATAATATATATGTATAATAATAATAATAATATTGAATAGATTCTTTATTTTTTGTTGTCCCTAAGTGAGAATTGTGGATGTCATATTGAACTTCAATAGTTATGCATAATAATATATCAAATTAAAGTTTTTTTAGTCAAGTGGTAAAAGTTCAATTTGTTGGTTTAACTGAAAAAATATTGAAACAACAACACTTTTGGCATGAGTCCTTAATTCCCCATGAAATTGTGTATGTTACACAATTCTTTATATGTATTAGTATGTGAATTATGTCGCAAAAAGTAAAACTAAAACGAACGATCAATGAATGAAAATAATATATTTTTTAAAAATTTGCCATTTTAAATTCATGGACAAACAATATATAGTTAGTATTAGATAGAATATCTCGGCGCTTACATAAGTTATTTAGAATATTTCAAAAGGATTATTAATGGATCATGATCAAATAATTAATATTTGTATAGGTCGAATAATGGTTAAATTGGAAAAAAAAAAGGTTTCAGATAAAATTTTCGTCTCGACGTTTTATTTTCACGAAATAATTAAGAAATGAATAACATTTATTGGTAATGTGATAAATATTATCATAATCAACATCCATACATAACTCTAAATTTATTCAAGAATGAATGAATAGAGTAAAAAAAGTAAAAGTTATTAATTAACAATTTTGATCATTGGCCAATTTATTTGATTGGTTTGTATTTGGTTGTGTATGGTGGCCCCTGCTTTTATTTAAGCGTCTGTGCACACGATATCTATTATTATTATTATGGGGTTTAAACATTCGAATGAAAATTTTTGTGCATAACGATTTAAAAACAATAATTGTTTATTTGGTTAAATCAATAATTCAATGATTCTTTAGTGGAGAATCTTGGAGAAAT